GGCTGAGGTATTTCCCATCATCTACTGCCTGGTCCTTTTAACTGGAGATGCTGGGGATTGAACCTGGGACCTTCTGCATGCCAAGCAGATGCTGTACTGCTGAGCCACGGCCCCTCCCCATCTGTGGTCCAAGATCTGCTCTGTGCTTGAGTTGCTGGAGGACAGGGGAGGGGGTGGAGGCCGGGAAGCAAAAGAGGCAAGGTTTCACACATTTATTTGAAACAGCCCAGCCTTTGGCTGGAATTCTTTAGTACAGGGATCTCCAACTTTTTTTTAAATTGGTGTATATGTATGCCTGGAAGTCACGGTTGAATTCTAGCAACCCCTAGTGGGGCTTGGAAGTTTCAGAGCGGTGGCTTGCTATTGCCTGGCTCTGCATCCCGGCCCTGGTATTCCTTGAAGGTCTCCCATCCAATTACTTGCCAGGGTCGGCCCTGCTTAGCTTCCGAGATCTGACGAGTTCGGGCTTGCCTTGGGCTATCCGGGTCAGGGCGAGTCTCCACCTTTTTTGAGCCTGGGGGCACCGTTGAAATTCTGACACAGGGTGGTAGGTGCAACCCCCCCACATACACACACACAGAGGAATCCCAAATGCAGGAGAGAAGAAGGGTTAGAAAGTATGCACAGGCAATCATATCTCCAATGGCCAATCAGATGCCCCGATAGACAGATGTCCCACCTGGCCCCACCCACTTCCTGAAAGCGTTTGGAAGTTACCAGGAAAGGTATGGCACCTACGGGCACCACGTTGGGGACCCCTGCTGTAGGGCATTGCTGTTGATGTACGGCCGAGTCACCCAGTTCTTTGCTTCCCCCCTCCCCATTCCGAGCAGCCCTCCACGTCGTCGGTCGCCTCCGACGAGAAGGTCGATTACGTGCAAGTCGATAAGGAGAAAACCCAGGCGCTGCAAAGCACCATGCAAGAATGGACAGACGTCCGGCAGTCTTCGGAACCCGCCAAAGCGGCCAAGTAGGAGCAGCCGGAGGTGGTGGCAGGCCGGAGCGTCGAGGGGAAAGCCTTCCGGAAAGGCAAAGCGAAACATTTCCTAGGCCTTCCGCCACCGTTCTGTAAGCGGTGGGAGATTTTGTCTTGCAAGCATCTTCAGGGGAAGACACAGCCAACACAGTTCACCAGAGCACACAGCGCCAGGGCTCTGGTTGTGTTTTGGGTGAGGTCGTCTGGGAAATGCAATGCAGCAATACCTGGATTCGTGACACCCCCGCATGCTGTCTACTTCCAATCCCCCTTGAAGCCTTCCGCTAATCTGCTGGATTCGCCCTTCTTCTGCAATGCACACCTGTTCGGAGCAAAACAATGCCACTTTGGTGGAATTCTAGCCTTCCGCCACAAACGGAATGACAATTTCCACATAGTGAGATTCTGTCCCCCCCTCCTCCCCCCGGCCGAATGGGCCCATCGACAGCTCCACGTTCGATTTCCAGCAAAGCATTTGTCTACCTAGTTTTTGTTGTCTTAACAAATTACTGACGTACTTATCCCCAAAGCACTTAAGAGTATTCCAT